TTCCGGGGAAAAGAGAACAGTGAAAATGTGGTATTTATAACTTATAGCTATTAGAAGGCATTCCTTTAAAATATAAAGGAATAGACATTGTTAAAGATATGGCTCAGGTTTCTTCCCTTCTGTAAAATTTTTAACTTCCCCTCTAGACAAAACTTAATATCTACCATTTATATACTTCTAATATAGCTTTATCAAACTGTATTGTATTTTTTTTAGTATTCCTATTCTATTTTTTTTTACGACAGGGTTTTGCTCTGTTACCCAGGCTGGAGTACAGTGGCACTCCCCACAGCCACAAACTCCTGGGCTTAAGTGATCCTCCTGCCTCATCCTCCTGAGTAGCTGGGACTACAGTTATGCACTGCCATGCTTGGCTAATTTTTTTTTTTAAATATAGAAACAGGATATCACTATGTTGCCCAGGCTGGTCTTGAACTTCTGGGCTCAAATGACTGTCCCTCCTCAACCTCCCCCAAGTGCTGAGAGTATAAGAGTGAGCCACTGTGCCTGGCCAAAATTGTTTTCTCAATTATTCATCTATGTTAAATAATTGGAAGCTTTCATGGTTAAACAAAGACTCTAGATTTTCTGTGAAAACTGAAAGGTCAAGCAGACCTAGATTCTTGCACAGAATCAATTGGCAGAAACTGAGTAGAGGCTGCCCTCTTTGGACTGGGTTTGTCTAATCCCACCCCAGCCTAGCTATCCCTGTTAGTATTTGAGTTTATGACCCCTGTTTTAAAAACTAGACCAAATTCCAAATAGTCCTTGAACCTTTTTCTTAGATCCCCCTCGCCATAATAATCTCAATCACATTTTAGTCTGAAACGCCCATTATTTATCTCTCTCATGTGTAATTAATCATGTGTTACTTTATGGAAGTATCTTATTATTATGATATACTCATCTCATTATTATGCCAGTGTTAAAGAAAGAAGAGGGCACCCCAAAACCTTACAGGGTGGCAATGATCATAATCATTCATTCATTTGACAAGTACTTACTTTGTTCCTACTATGCAGATTTCCAGATTACCAAAACAATATTCCTGACATGGTGCCAGGCACCTTGATAAGAAATTTACCTACATGATTCCATTTACTCTTTGTAACAATGCTATGAAGTTGATATATCTCATTTGACAGATGAGGAAACAGGCAGACCAGGCTTCTAACTCAAGTTTGTTTCACCCCAAATTTGTAGTCTAGTCTTTTAAATTACTGGGTAAATCCATCCTTGTTATCATTGCCATGGTCCAGAATCTACCTATCAGCTTTCAAGGGCCGTAAGCTACATTTTTCTGAGTGCAAACTGATTTAATCAACTGACAAGGACTAATCCATAGGAGCTAAACTCTCAAGGGACTTATGTCTTTAAATGTCACCTTATAATTTTATGAGTTAGGCCGGGTGCGGTGGCTCAAGCCTGTAATCCCAGCACTTTGGGAGGCCGAGGCGGGTGGATCACGAGGTCAAGAGATCGAGACCATCCTGGTCAACATGGTGAAACCCCATCTCTA